ATGATTGAATTACTCCTATGCTACAATATGCCAATTAAAATATAAAAAACAATATATATATGTATATATATTACTGTTGAAAAAACAAAAACTTCATAAAACAACAGAAAATAACCATACAAATATAAAAATACAATCATTTTCTACACTTCAATACATTTTTCTGCCAGATTTTTTTAAATTTGTGTGTTTTTTTGGCTTTCAATGCTTAATAAGTGATCTTTACATGCATTAAAAACAATAAATAAATATATTATAGCTATATAAAAGGACAGTCTATTACATCTGTTACATAAATATTTGTGATAATTGTGAAATTACACAAAATTACAAATGCATTTTTAATGATTTTTAATGTCAAAAAATTTAAATTGTCTTTAACAAAAATGTGGAAATTGTATGCTTCTTCACAGTTAAAGGTTTTTAATTTTTTTTAAATTAAATTTTTAAAATATATTTATTTTTGAGTATTGCAGAAAATTGTGGAAAAATAAAAAAGGAAAAATTCTATAAAATTCTAGATTATTTCTTTGCCTCTGAAATGTAGTTTTATTGTTTTTGAGCAGAGCTGCAGGTGAGCTGGCGTGCTGAGCTGCAGCGAGCGGTGGAAGATTGGGACTGCATAGATCTGCAAATTCTTGTAAGACATTTTAAATCCAGGAAAAGATTAATTTCATGGGGAAAAAAACTCTAAATATGTAACTTTGATATACAGAGATGTGTTTTAGGGGTTAATTGAAAAAGCAAAGAGGGACGTCAAAGACAAAACCTGCTCACACCTAAGGCTAATTTATCTTTCTTCTGTTTACTGCACTTTGTATAAAGTAAAACTAATGTGTGATGAATGTGTGTCTTACTCAGAAAGCTAAAAAAACAACCGGCCAGCCTTCCTATAAGCATTACCTCCAGGCATGACAAACCCATACGGAGGATAATGTGTTCTACAGCACCGAAAATATGTCAGTCACCCTTAGTAACCCGAGGTAGGTGCAGTTTCTCTCCTGTGGGCTTCGGTCGGCCCTAAAAATAGTGAGGACATCTGCAGTCATAACAATGCAGATCCACTGTAATGGAGAGGAAAGGACAGGAGAGGAGGGATGAGAGTCGAGTAGGAGGAGAGGAAGGATGGGTAAAAAAAAAAAGAGCTGATGAGGACAAGGCTGCTGCTGCTGCTAACAGGATCTCAGCTGTAAAAACAATGTAGTGCTGTGGTGCTATTACTGCCCCATCAGAGGATCATCATCACCGGGCGACGAGCGGCCCGGAGCACACGGCCATTCATTGTCTCACTCAAGGACACTTCACACACCGGATGCCTGCTGGAGGGCTGGAAACTGAGCAGCTCCTCTGAAGGACGGTCCGGACTTTGATGTGAGCTAATTAACGCGGATCGGACCTGAAAAATCTCATTCAGCCAGAGATCAAAGCTCTGACGGGCTCTGATGAAGGTCTGATGTAGATTAGAGGAGCCTCGGGGCTTTATTCTGGTTACTTTATATGAAAACAGATGAAATGTTTAATGAAGAGGTTCACCCTCCGCTGCAGATTTACTTCACTTATAAAGCTGCTGGTTCATGGAGGTATCCTCGGTGACTGTCGTGGGCACAACAGCTACAAACTGTGTGTTGTGCATGTAAACATAGTTACAGCAACCTAACAGGACGACACACAGTAATGACACAGTGGTTTGGTGCTTCCTGTAAGTAGTCCAACACTGCCCCCCACTGCCAGGAAGAGCTCCATACAGTGGAGTCCAGAATTAGTCATAGTGATTCCAAAATCTGGTTTATAACTGCAGTAAGGTTTCCTATAGCGAGAAACGATATAAATACAGCATTATGTGGGAGATATTAACCAGAATTCTTCTCTATTTCTGTCCTTTCTTTAAACATGGCACGTTCAAAACTATTCATACCTCTAAAAATGCTGCAACCTTTTGAGAAAATGCAGCTTCTACATTATTTGAGACGGTTCTGGTAGTTTCTATTATGTTCTAGAGCGTTCTAAAGCACTAGAAACAGCTCATGCACTAGTCGGCTACGAGTCAAGTCAAAGACCTACACGAAACGGCTGTAAATCCACATCCTGGTATCTTCAAGCGTAAGCGAGTTCCACGCTGTATCTCAAAAGGCTGCTGCGAAGTCAAAAGTGAGCCCTGCACTGGCAAGAAGAATCCAAGGACCAGCACCAGGAGCAGTTCTGGTAGAAACATCTCAACGAGACGCTGGTTTCTATGGACGCAGACTCCACTTCTACAAGACAAACACACAAAAGCTCAGCTGGACCAAGAAGAAAGCTGCTGCTCGTCACTTCTGTGATCGGATGAGCATTCAACCCCAAGAACGCCGTCAACACGATCAAACATGTTGGGAATGGGACGCTCTGGAGCTGTTTCCAGGCACCCTTTACTGAAGCATCATAAGAAAGCAAGACGAGGTGGAGATTGTGGAGGAAAAAACTCGAGGCAGGCTGCAGAAAAACTGCTGCCTGACGCCAAAGTGTTGAAGAAACAGCAAACCAAGAACAATATGAAGAAGCTGGAGTCCAGACCTGAATCATGGAGGAACTGAAGTGATGTAGAGGAAACCTTCAAGCCCAAAGACTTGCAACGTGCAAAAGCTTGTTGTTGCATCTACATCACACTTGAGGCCACAGACACCACAGCATCGCCATTTCTGACTTTCAACAGGTTAAAAAAAAAAGACATGAGGTTGAAGTTTACAGTCGGCAGGACCTCATTTATTAGTAGCAGTGTTTTCAGGTTAAATGTGTGAGCCTGCATATTCAGAACTTGTATTATTGAGTTCAAAACTGTTTATCTTCGTTGTCGTCCACTCTGATCATTATATCATGTTTTCCTATCACGGTACTTAGACATGACAAATTAAATTTAGTGATAAGAACTTGAACAGCACGACAAGACAGATTCACATTGTAGTCGACTGGATGCAGTGAGTCAGTAGATGCACCAAACAGCAGCTAAAAGTCAGGATATTTTGATAATTTCTTTAAAAAATCCATCTTTTCCAAGTAACTCCATTTAATGCAAGTCCACTGCATAATGTGTCCCTTTAAGATTTGGACTTGATTTTGTTCACCTGAAGCTTCATTGTTATTCAGCTCTGGGAAATACTCTTGCTGTTGCTAGGCAATTCCATATTTGAGCTTTTGAAATGAAAATGCCTCCTTTCCTGTTTCTTGGGGGAAAAAAGCAGCAAATATGAAAGGTGCTGTTTTTTTTAGACGAGCTTCTTTCTTATTAGTAATGGAAAGAAAAACTATTAGCAACTTGTTATTTCCTCCGAAACCTTTTTTGTAATGACGCACCTGCAAACCTGACGTCAGTGAGCTCGCTCTTTGCCCACATGAGTTGTTTCTCCAGCTTATCTCCTGCCACAAATGATTTCATTATACTCAGCCTCTATTGGTTTGCTGCTCTTTCCCAACAAAGCTTCAAAAAAATAAAAAAAATAAAGGAAACCAAAGTGTCAGCTGATTAACAGCCTAATAACACCTCCTCCTTGCCCAAACTTTCCTCGTCAGCTGTGACATTTCTGCTTGGAAGGAAAATCCTGCTCAGCTCTTTGCAACAACCTGCTACCTTCTAACCGAGTGTAAAAATATTCCCTGTCCCACTGACGCTCGCTTCAACCCATTCTGATGCATTTACAACAAGGTGTCCAAAACCTCCTCGACTCTCGCTCTGCCAAGGAAAGTTTTGCCTTCTGCGTCACAGCAGCCTGTTACTTCCACATCCCGGTCCAACTCCAACACCGTCTGTTCTGACATATACGAGCTAACTCCTGTCTGCTGCCTGACCTCATCGTCTTATTAGCACCATTTCCTTCAGTCTATACAAAAAAACAAAAAAGGCCATACACTAAACAATGTGGTTTTAACTCATTTCAGGACAGAGTTACAATAAAAACGCTCTTGAGGTGTACCACAGGGATCTGTTGTTGATCCTTTTTTGATTTAATTATGATTTCGCTATTATTTTGCACTGAACAATAAAATTGCTGACAAGTGAAGTGATTAACTTTGATGTTACTTTGGCATGTAGCACCTTCCTGAACACCTTTGCAGACCAAAACTGCTTAGGAACAACTCAACAACACCAAACTTACCATCAAGCATGGCGGAGGCAGCATCATGCTCTGGGGCTGTTTTGGTAAATGGAATAATGAAGAAAGAGGATTACCTCCACTTTCTTCAGGATAACCGAAAATCCTCAGCCAGTAGGTTGATCTTGGATGCAGTTGGGTGTTTCAACCAGACAATGAGCCCAAACACACATTAACGTGGTGAAGAAATGGTGAATGAAGGTTCTAGGCTGGTCTCCCCAAAGTCCAACTGAAACCTTATCAAGAACCTGTAGACTGTGTTCAGGGAACAAGTCTGTGTTAGAAAGACAACAAATTTAGATCAACTGCACCAATTCTATCAAGAGGAGCGTCAAAGATACAACCACAGTCTCATAGATAGCTGGCCAAAGCTCCTAACTGAGGTGAAAAAGACCAAAGGACATTTAACCAGATATTGGCGTTACTGTACGTATAGTTTTTTGGGGGAGACAACTCCTTGGTGAATTGAATAGCATTGATCATGTTCTGCTGGGAAACCTTCAGTCCAACATTCATGTGGATGTTACTTCGATATGTGCCACCTTCCCAAACACTGCTTTTGAACGTCACTGCTCAGGAATGGCTCGAGGAACTCAACGTAGAACTCCAGGTGTTGACACGGCCTTCGAAGTACCTAAAACTATGCCTTTGTGTTATTCCCTTCAGTATACACCAGAAACAAGGGGACAGCATATTAAACAATGTCGTTTTAAGTAATTTCAGGCCAGATTTTAAAACAAACACAATGAAAACACTCCTAAAGGTGTACCACAGGGATCCGTTATTGGTCCTCTTTTTGTTTCTTCTTCATCATTTCATTGCATCCAAACTTCCTGAAACTAGTGTTTAGTAAAAAGCACTCGTCTCACTTCAGGCTCAGGACATTCAAGTAATTTATTCAACAAATGGCAAGCAGTTAAATCTCAATATTAAAAACATACACGTAATTTTACATCTGGGTCAAATCGTCGTGGCAACAGCAGGATTAGTGTTTGCATTCATTTACAATACTTTGTAGTTAACTAGCTGTACTCAGCATTAGTAGGTTTTGGTTTAAGCTTTGGATTCTTCATATTTGTGATACGACAAGTAGTCAGTCGCCATCTGACTGTCCTTCCACAGAAATAATCATACAAATATCAACCTGTAGCTACATCTAACTAGCAAGAAAAACATCTGTTCAGCTGGTTTAAACAAACTACAAAACCAAGTATTACCCGACCTTCACCTCTGCTACATGCTGTCTTGTTTGCGTATGACGAGCAATGCAATTTCACAACAAAGGAATTTCTTTGACAAGCCAAAAATAAGCACATCATCGATTTAAAGTAACAACCAAGTCTTCCCCTCGTTTAGTGGAATGATTGCTTTTGGTCGTGGAGTGTAATTTAAACCGTAAGACTCAGGATGGATATGTACAGTGCTGCTTGATTTATCATTACAACAGCAGGAATTCATTGAAATCAATATTCTAAATTGACAATTAATCATAATTTAACACACGGGAGATAACAGATTAATAAGCGGCTGGATTGTCACAGCAGTTTAATCCCCTCAGTCTTGTTTAGCGACATTTTACAAAGGCTGGACTTTATTATTTGGAGTAAGTTTATATCACTGCGCTTAAAGGTGACGTCAACGGTTCTAATCCAGTTTTTTGTTAAATTTAGTAAATAGCTGTGAGTTATGAGTATGCACTAAAATAATAGTCTGGTGTTTGTGCACAGCTCTGGCACTGAAAAGAGGAAACAAAGAGGCTCAGACTGATCAGGACAAGACGATCCCAGTTTGACCTGTGTGCGTTCATGCTCGTGCACGTTCATGCTCGTGCACAGGACAGGAGGAAACTCGCTTAATGCACCAATTAAACATAAAATTGTCTTTCTCCAGAATCGAAGACGGCACCTTTAACCACAGAGCTTATGGCATGTAGACTTTTCATATGTAACCTGATAAAAGGCAGCGGCTGCATGGATGTCAGTGCTGATTGGTTCCAGTTGGAGAAGACAAATGCTGATTGGTTTATGTTGGAGAAGACAAATGCTGATTGGTTAAACTCAGACAGGACAATGTGATTTCCTTCTCCTGATCTATTCCCCACATGCTCATACAACTGGAGTCCAGTAAATATTATTTGTCATTGCTTCGGTGCACGCTGAGTTAAAGTCACTGTTGGATCCTGTACAGCAGTGGAAACAGAAAGACTGAAATGGCCAATTACAGACACTCTGGATGCAAAGAACCAGACGTCTGAGCTGCTCGTCTTATCTCTAAGGCAGAGTCCAGACCGCCTACAGGGGAAACTCATTTTGGCCGTTTGTATTCGTGACCCTTCCTGTTTTGGTCACGACCCAGATCTCACAGCCACAAACTGGAACGTAGCTCAAAGGGTGAATTAAGAGATTTGCCTTCCCGCTCAGCTCCATCTTCACCACGACCGAGGTCCTGCAGTGGAAAGCCGACTAGTGTGCTAAACTGTAGGAATGTTTTACGCGTTACCTCGACTATATTCTCAGAAACCTGCAGGCAGAACGTTCTACCTTTGTTTTTACACCACATCACATAAAAATCTAAATCAATAACGTCTTTGAAACTATTTTTGAATGCTGGTTTGAGATCTTTGTTTTAATGCAACTTCCAAACATCCCCTGAATGTTGCAGTTAAAACACTCTGTGAACCTTATAGGAACATTATCTGAAATCATAAATATACTTGAAACATTCTGAAATTAAAAACCACGACTTGTAGGCAACTTTTTTTTTTGTTTTGCACCCCGAAGCATCGTCAGTCCTGCATATCATTTACCATTCAGCTCAACAGACAGACCGCACGTTACGAGTGCAGCAGCCACTCAGCAGCAGCAGCAGCAGCGACTCCACCTGTGTTCACTCCGTCACCTGACCAACAGGTGGGCCACAAAAATCCAACACACAGAATTCATTTAAAGCTGATTATAAGCGCTACTGTAGTTCTGCTTCACAGTGATGGAGTGTGCAGTCCAGAATATCTTACAAACAGAATCAAACCTCCGTCGTGAGAAGGCTGGGAGAGGAAGACGACCGAGGAGGAGGAGGAGAAGGACGACGCTTCATCCTTTGTCCGGGAGAGCAGGAGGAGGAGGAGGAGGAGGAGGAGGAGGAGGAAGGCCTCAGTTTTTGACAGCACCCCAGATGATAAGTCCTATTACAACAGCGGCTACAGCCAGCACTATCATCAGGATGCATATCTTCTTCCGAGAGCGCCGCTGGTGAGAGAAGAAGTTTATTCTAGCGCTAAATAAAATAAAAGACACCGTTTGAATTTCAACGGACAGACGGACGTTTGAAGTGACTCACGGTGAATCACATTCACCTTGTGAGTCAGCGGCTACTGCTGCTTCTTCTTCGCTTTATTTGAGAAATCAAACTGACTAATCGCCGGGTTGCATAAGGCAGCCCATGTGCAGGAGGTGAAGAGTTACGCACACATTCTGTTTTATAAGAGACGCCTCGAGGCAGCTGGGATGACTTTACCGGTTCACCAGTTATGAACCAACTTCCCTAACACTCACACGTCTCCACTCGTAGTTTCAGTTCCTCATTAGGGCCGCAAATAGGAATCATTTTCATTTTGTAGATTATTTTCATGAGTAGTCAGTCTATGAAATGTCAGAAAATGGTGAAAAAATAAAGTGTTTTGTTTTGTCCACAACCCAGAAAATACTCAATTTATTGTAATAGATGAGCAAAGAAACCAGAAAATATTCACACTTAAGAAGCTAGAATGACAGAATTTTGACTTTTAATGAACTGATTGACCCCATCATTGACAGCTAACTGACTAATCCGTTCCTCCTCCTCCTGCTCTCTGGTTTTTTTATCGTATTTTACCTGGTAGTCTGCAGCTCGGGCCAGCTGCTGTGTTGCATTCTGGACGTTGACGTCTGCGCTCTCCACGTTGGCTTCTATACTGTCTGCAGAACACACAAGGAAAACAGAATGTACATGAAGCGGGAAACAGAGCGGCTTCAAAAGGACGAGCAGCAGGTTGGCAGCACAGAAAAGGTGACGAGAAACAGCCGGCGTTTCATTGGCTGGATGTCCTGCAGCAAAAACCCAACTAACTGTACGACTTGCACGCAGACGGTCAACATGAATGACGGATGTGAAAAAGTATTTCAGCAAACTCATTTCAATATAAGACAAAGATAAAACAAAACAAATGCTGTTTTTAAATCACCATTTTATTAAAGGAAACACGCTTAGCGACCGATCTGCCAGCAGCCACACCTCCATGTGATCGCTGCCAGGCTTAATGGATCCAAACATCACTAAACAGAACTTCTCTGGTATTGTGAAGTACACTTGAAGGGTTTTTAAGAAGGGATGTGAAACAAAGTCATTCATCAGACTGGAAAAGGTCACAAAGCCGTTGCTGAGGCTTTGGGAGAAGTCCACCTCTGAGCGGCTCAGAAAGAACAAAGTTAAGGTTTCAGAGTCAAAGTCTGGACTTGAATCCAGTGGAGATGCTGCAGTAATGATCACAAACCCTCCAATGTGGCTGAATTAAAACTATTCTGCAGAACATTCCTCTGTTTGGTATAAATATGGACTTTCTGCTAACAGCTGTGTGACTGTGTTAGAAGTTACTCGTGTCTTGTGTTTTCTGTAGCCACAGGCGGTTACTCAGAGCTCACAGCTAATCTGTGTTCAGAGGCACTTGTCTGTTGAGTTATTTCTGTACACCAGAGGGCTGTACTGAGTAAGTTTGACATAACCACGCTTTCTTTGTGTAAGTCAGCTGGACAAAACCTAAAGCCCCAGTCAGAGATAAGGGGTATCATGAAGGTGGTTTGACTTTCTTTGTCAACTTCCTGCTTCAGACTCTGTGTGTTCACATAAAGGAGGCGTTTAACTCGTCACGTGACTCTTCTGCACAAACTGAACCGATCGTGTGCAGCTGCTTCAGTCAACACGTTGTTTTAATGGAGAACAATGAGGAATCTAAACATTATGACGGTAAAAAGCGTCGCTACTGAAACTCTGAACAGAACCTGCTGCTGACCAGGTTAGCTCCACAGCATCAGTTACCATGGAGATCTAACTCTGTAGCATCAGTTACCATGGAGACCTAGCTCCACAGCATCACTTACCATGGAGACCTAGCTCCGCAGCATCAGTTACCATGGAGATCTAGCTGTGCAGCATCAGTTACCATGGAAATCTAACTCTGCAGCATCGGTTACCATGGAGATCTAGATCCACAGCATCAGTTACCATGGAGATCTCGCAGGTTAAAGAGAGACACCTCCGTGACACTGAAAACTCTGACTTCAGGCTCAACATAGCTCAATAACGCACTGATGTGGCTTCATAGTTCAGCTCTCTGTGCTAGTTTTAGTGACTTTTGCTAGCCGTGGGATTGCCATCATGTCTCAGCTTGGCTAGCTTAGTTATTGTCTTGTTGTTTCGTGTCAGTAAGTCTTCTACCTCTGTTCGCCTGTTTGGTTTTATTTAATTCTTTGTTTTCTTTCCAGTATCATCACCTTTTCTTTTGATAATTACGTCACTAAGCAATAAACGACTAAACCGAGATGGTTCTGTTGACTTCCTAGCTGAACCCAGACAGCTGCGTTGCAACAACAACACACCACGAACAAACCACAACACCGTCTGTTGGAGATGTTCTCACCCAGTCATCTACCGTCACCGTTTGTCAAAGACTTTCACATCCTCTATTTTTCTTGGTTCTAACACATCAGCCTTAAGTACCGGCTTCTCACCTGAAGCCTGACACGTCACCTACCGATAGACGTCACTGTAGTCAGGTAATCACTGTTCTTCATTTCAGTGGTTTTAATGTTATGGCTGATTGATTTTTATTTTTAGCCGGTTTGGTGCAGGTACAGTTAATATATTGAGGACATGTGGAGTAGAGGTTGTAAGAAACTGTTTTTAGTGTCACTACCAGGATGTTTCACTTACAAACAGCTGAAGACAGATCATGTGTTTCTGATGCTCACCTATCATGTCTCCCTGCTCGTGGACCATCATGCCCAGGTCCTTGAAGATGTCGTTTATGTCCGTGATGTCAGACTAAATCAACACACACAAAGACAGACGGTTCATGTTTGTGGCTTTACAGTGAACACCTGATTGCACCAGAAGCGGACATTCAGCCGCCGTTCGTACCTCCAGCTGCCTGATGGCCGACTCCCTCTCCTGGATCAGCCTCAGGTCTTCTTCAGTGATGGCCTCGGCCTGAGCCTGCACCTGGGAATCCCTGAACACGGAATAAAACAATCACTACCGCGATAATGAGAGCAGAAAGGATAATAATGATGTGCAGACAGCGCTCTTACCTCTGGAAAGGAGGAGCATTTTCAAAGCTGTCTTCGGGCTGACCTCCCTGTTAGAGATAACGATGGACTTAATGTTGCACATGAACTTTATTTTCTCCATTATGGGGAAGTGTTATAATACCTGCTCCTCATTAAATATAATTTTATTCATTGTCAAAAGTTATGCGTGGTCACAGGGAGCAAATAAATCCTGCAGCTTCTCTTCCAGCCAAGATTCGCTCCTCAGCGGCGATTACAGCAGCAAGTAACAGTTCCTGCTTATCAGCGTGACTTTTCTGAGCAGCGAGATAAGCGGCGAGGGAGCAGAGTTGCCAGGCGAGCATTCTTTCTCAAGGGAACAGGAGTCTAAAACAGTCGCAACTAAAAGTCGCAGTTTGTCTCTGAACCGACATCTGCCGCTGTTACAAATTTAGCCGAGAAACGAAAGAGGAACCGACTTGGCAGCGCTGCACCGGCTCCCCTGCACCTCACAGATCTGATTAGAAAAGTCCTTTAAGTCATAAACAAAGCTCTAAACGGTTTATGGCGGGCCAATATCACAAACTCCCTGCTGCCTTCACTGCCGTCGCGAGCCAGTAAATCATCTACCGCCGGTTTTCTGGACCCTGAAACCAAAGCGATGCTCCCAAGTTGTAGAATAGCAAACCACCGACTGCACCGTGTGTGACGTCACTTTATTTACACATGCACGCTTTTTAATGACAGTTATATTTACCTGCTTTGTACATTTGTGTTTGATTTGCTTTTTACTGTTTCCAATTGTGCTTCAGTGCTACTACTTTCATCATTACTGATTTAATTCTGTTTGGAACACAGTGAAACACAGCGAGAAGAGTCAAAGCAAACCACCTGAATTGTGGGTAGGTGCTCAAATGCACTGTGTGGCAGGTCACAGGTGATGACGATGGTGTTATTCAGCCGCCACCCGCCTGTTTGACCAGATCTGGCTCCCTCCGATTTCTTCCTCCCCCTCAAGATCAAACTTAAGTTGCCGTTTAGACACAGTCTAGGAGGTTTAGCTCATCACAGATGGCGCCCGACATGTTTACAGGATGGAGCTTCCCAGTGTTGCAGGAGCACTGGGAGCAGAGCATCACTGCACAAGGACACGACTTAGAAATTAAAACCGGGTACAGTGTTGAATCTGCAGTCTCTGAACTCTCTGACTGCACCTCGTCCTAGCTCACGCCGTCTACTTATCTTACACCTCGACCTGCCGACAGGTGAATCGTACTCACCGACACTCTGGAGCTCGCTCTGACTCTGGCCACGAACTCCCTCTCCTTGTTGGCCGCCTCCCGCTGCGTCTTCTGGAAGCTGTTCAGGGCGGCGGAGAAGTCGTTCAGCAGACGCTCCTTCTGCAGCTTTCTCTGCCGCTGCAACAGAAAAACACGTCACCAGAAAATCCACACGCTCGAGCTACGATGTGCAGCACCGGGCAGCCCGGAGATCGCTACCTGATCTGGGCCGACGGGGAGGGCAGCGAACCCTTTGATGAGCCGGTCCGTCTCCTTGGCCAGGTGGTTGCCTTGCTGCTGTTTCTGTTGACTGGAGACCAAAGAAGAGTTTGATTTTGATTTGGTGAAGGAGAAGATTCCTACCCAGAGGCAGCAGAGGGATTTAGAGGAGTAGACTAGTCCAGTAAGAAGCTGTGAGTCATGAGTAGACTCCTGATACTTCCAGTGCCTGTTAAAGGTTTCATCGCTCCGATGTTTCCCTCTTTTATTGCTTTTGATCAATGAGAAAACAAATCACTGAGAGCAACAGGACACCTATAACTCCCCCACTTCCACATGAAAGTGCATTTTAGTAAATTCATGCCAAATTAAACGGACCATGATTTGACAAGCAATTAAAGGACTAAAATCCAAGGGGGGCACTTCATACCAGACCAAATCCAACCAGGCCTCCACTCCTTCAGGCCACCAGGACACCTGTGACTCCCCCACTTCCACACGAAAATAGTATTTTTTTTGTATGTTGCAAAAAAAGTCAAATTTAATTTACTACAATTCAATGCTGACAAGATGTTAAAGGACAAAACTTCCCAGGAGGGTGAATACTTCTTATATGCACAGTTTGACAGACCAAATCCAACCAGGGCCCATTCTTTAGGGCCACCAAGACTCCCCAACTTTGACATGAAAGACTATTTTTTGGGGGGAAATTCTTTTTAAAAACCCAATAATTTAACCACAATCCAACACTGACATGCAGTTAAAGGAGGAAACTTCAAAGTGTGGGTGAATTGTTTTTAGATCAAATCCAACCAGACCTCTGTTCCTTCAGGCCACCAGTACTTATATGCATTATCTTCTATGAACTACTTATGATGTATTTATTTTATTATTTCAATTATTCTTGTTGTGTGTTTTTGTTGTTGAGACTGTAATGCTTGTTATTTGATTGTCTGGAGGACCAGCTGACGTCTTGGTGCCAGCCAATGGGCATCCTTTTAAATAAACAGACACCTACGATTCCCCAGCTTTGACATTAAAGAGTATTTTTTGGGGGAAATTCTTTTTTAAAAAGCCAGTAATTTAACCATGATCTAACACTGACGTGCAGTTAAAGGAGGAAACTTCCGATGAGGTGATAACTTTTTAAAACACAGTGTGATAAATCCCAGCGGGCCTCCCTCCATCACTCACAGCGTCTGTCGGAGCTGGCTGGTGTCCTGCTCAGTCCCCAGAAGCGACACCGCCCTCCGCAGCTCGGAGGCTGGAAAAGAAGCAAAGTTTATTTGCACAGAGCGCGTCAAGCAAAGCGGCGTTTAATCCTGGAGTGTGAGCCGAGCGTCTGCGTCTTACTCAGCAGCGTGATCTTCTGGATGTTGGTGGTGATGCTGTGGAGCAACACGCTGGGCTCCTCTGGAATCCCAGCCTGGTAGGCCATGATGAAAGCTGCCAGGAGACACAACATCCCATGAGTCATGTGACGGGAGATCTCGTTACTACAGTTAACTGCGGTTAGCTCGGCGCTCTCATGACCGACATGTGAAAATGCCTTCAGGCTACCAACATCTGTTCATCGGCCACGTGTCGCCAATTTATAAATACTGAAAACGCCACCAGGTCTCCAGCAGCTATGCTTCTGTCTGCTACTGCTGTAACACTGGAACACAAGCAGCAACATGTATGATCAGCTTTAGTCTGTGTGACTACCTTCATCTCTGTTGGTGGTTTTATGTCCACACGACTACAACGTCTGGCACAAAGGCCGGTCCAACAGAACCTCACGTTAAAGAAGTCAACTATAAACTCCAACCTATTTATTTATCCTCCTTACTTTGCATACTGGGGCACTTCCAGGTTCATTGTTTGGCCTTGTTCCTGAAATTGAAGATACTTTAGCTGCAGTTCTTGCAGTAAATGTGTTTGTGTTCGTTTCTTCAAGTTACAATTTTCTGATAATGCTTCGATTAAGTTTTTAGAGACAAAAGGTTCAAACTGTTTGATTGCAGCTTCTTAAAAGTCACTTAATGCAGCTTTTCCTGGTTTTAAATGTACATGATGGTACATACACACAAATGTGGTACATTTATTTTATGAACATAACAGGGATTTGTTTTGTTTTTAATCAATTCATCGGTTTGAGTCATTTTTCAGGACAAAAACTAAAAATCCTTCAGTTCCAGTTTCCTCAATGTGAATATTTTCAGTTTTCTTTCCTCCCCTGTGACAGCAAACTGAATATCTTTGGACAAAACTAAACGTTTGTCATCTCTGGCTTTGGGAAACATGATTTTTCTGACATTTTTGAGACCAAACAACGAATCAGTTCATCCAGAAAGTCATCTTTAAATGAATCGAGAATGAAAGTAGTCATTAGTTACAGCTCTAGTCTGCAGGAGTTCTTGTAATAAGTGAAGAAACTGTGGAGTCAACTCATAGAGAACACTAGAAAATATGACTTGACTAAAAAGTGTGCCTTGGTATACTTGTTTAAGATGAAATAAACATCCAAAGGTTATTGTTAATTGGTGTGTTTGGACCTCTTCAGTAAAATACTGTCTCGGGATGCAGAATAACATCATTCTCACCATCAGCTGTTAGAATAAAACCCTGGAATCTGTAAAAATTTAGTTTAGCTTGAAAACGTCACATTAAAATAATTCATACCTAAGCTGAAGCAGTTTGCACCTGCTGGTGAGCCAGAACATTAACAGTTATATATCAATATGTGAATTCCACAACAGAAGGGGTGAAAAACACACGTAGTTATATCGGTAACAGCAAAATAAGTTTAATAAACATCAGAAAAGCATTCATCTGACTTTGCTGTAACAAAACCCTAAAAGCTGAGAGTCGATGAAAACTAGTCGGCATCAAGAAATGTTTTAAAGTCCAGCTTCTGACACACGATGTAAACATGAATAGAAGAAGCTGCATCCAGTTTCACACAGAGCCTCCAAACATCCACATCATAAGAACTATCGAGTCGTATGCTGCAGGATCACAGGACTTCCTCTAACTGGGCCTGAAGAAGCAGCTGAAACCACCAAACACACCTCCGCTACGAGGTGTTGGAGCGTGGGAACCATCGTGTCCTCCTGACTGCGACCGAGATGATGGTGGCTTTTAGGAGAACTGAGCTGAACTTTCGATTCTGCAGACGTCTGGAAACGTGTGACGCAGGATGTCGCTGATCTTCTGATGAGGTCTTTACTAGCGGCGGTTCCTCCTCAGAGTGGATCAGTGACTCTGTGCTAAACTATGAAACTAGAAATCTGCATTTTTCTGTCACGTCTGACCTTCTGGGAAACAACAAGTCCATCATAGTGGAGCAAATCAGACCCCAGTTAACACAGCTTCTCTTGTTCTTGTCACTTTGCTGCAGGATGAAACCTCTGAGCAGGAACGCTTTCAGGTTAGTGAGAGTATTTTCATTCCTGTTCTGATTATTGGTGTTACAGCAGCTGTTGATAATATATGTTATTATTATTATTTGACCACTGAGAATCTTTGCTGTCGTCATTTGACAGAAGTCTCAGGATCTTCTTGTCATCGGGGATTTTCCAACTTCTATTCTTCTACAAAGGAAGAAAACGTTCAGATCTGCTTTTAAATGAATAATGTTATCATTACTCTTCTCTGGTATCATAAAGGTTTCATACATCTGTACATATGTTTTGTACATTTTTTTCTAACCCTAATGACAAATGCTGCACTCATCATTTTAAGGAAATCTGAACATTTTTCCAGCTAAAACTTCAAAACTGAAACTAAAAACTTTTTCTGTGCAGAAATAACAGCACAGCTTTTAATAACAGCAAAACAGCAGCATGTTCTTTAGAGTTAACAAGAAGTTTTATTTATTCTGACTTATTTTATAACGACGTGTGCATTTAGTACATTTATGTGAATTGTCTTTTGAGGGAAATCGATGCATTTAATAAATAAAAACATCTATATTCTTAATTTTTGTCATTCTAACTCCAGATTTATGTGCTCAAAAAAAACTTTTAACGTCAACATTTGCCTGTTTTTTGTTTAGAAATCTGTAATATACGTTTTTCTGTATTAAGAGACACAAAAAGCTGATTTTAGGTCAACAAGTCTATTTCTATTCTTACTATTTGAATCTATTTATATGTATTTATTTATGTGCAAACCCTCTTTGCAACAGCATCAGTGTTCACATGGTTTTTTCACTAGTTTTTCTGTATCTATGTGTACATTTTGCACATTTTTACCATTTAAAAGACTTTCCTCAGAAGTTCTTTGATACAAATCGACGCATTTTAACGTAATTTCTGACAATTTAATTATCAGAAATGCCGGTTATGTAATAATAACACAGTGTGCAGCTGGCAGCAGGGTTCGGTCGGACCGTCACGCACACTTCCTGACTGAAACCTGAAACAAGCAGCTGCTGACAAACAGCAGCTCTGGAGGAACATTTCTCAGGATTTTTTTTACTTTAAACTAAATGAATAGTGTGACTCGTACCGTCGCTTGGATCCAACCTGTTGCCGCCCCGCCTGCTCGCTGAGCTTCTGTCCCTTTAACTGGCAGGAAAAAATGCGGAAATCACACGAGTTTTTAACGGCACCACTTTTACGCACAAACCACCAAATAACGCGCCGCCTGAGTTTGGAGAAGCGGGTTTTCTGAGAACTTTCCACCAAAGCTGAAGGCGACAGAAGTCAGTGAGCTGGAACCAAAGTGTCAGACGTGTTTCTGTCTTTCCTCCGGAGAACAAATCCTCTGGTTCTGTTCGTCACATGAAACCCATGAAACCCATGAAACAGCTTCTGGACGCGGTTTGTCGTCGTCGTGCGTCAGAACCGCGGATCGCGCGTAAAAAGTAAAAACTGAGCGCTGGAAAAGTTTCTACTTTACCTTTCTGGTGACTCGCAGCAGCAGCAGCAGTGTTTCCTGATTTTCTGCCACTCCTCCGTCACATGATGTCTGCTGAGAGAGAAGAGGGCTGACCTCTGGAGAAAGTGTGTTAAAGAAGAAGAGAAAAAAAAAAACCGGTCATGAGGGCTGATCTCTGGGAGGGATAAGTTAAAAAAAAAAAAAAATGTTACAAGGGATGACCTCTAAGGAAATGATGTAAAATAGAAAAAAATTTACAAGGGCTAATCTGTGGGAGAAATTATGTCAAACAGAAACAAACAAATCAAGACCCTGCTGAGGAATGATGTTTAAACAAAGAGCTGATGTCTGGGAGACATTAAGTAGAAGACAGCTGTAAGGGGAGAAATGATGTAAAATTAAATAAAGAAAATAAAAAACACCAGCAGCAGTGGATTTAACGGCTGATCCAGTCCCTGTGCTGATCATTAGGAACAGTCCATGATGTGAATAATCAGTCACATGAATCCAGACACAGTGACGTCACACATGTGTTTTAAGCAGCACATGTTGAACAAGCAGAACATTTCTGAAGACATGTGAAGTGCCCCTGCAGCTTCTGCCCGCTAGAATCATACAAAAGGTATCATTTATATACGTGCATTTTATTTTGAAAGTCACCAGGTTTTACATCCTCTGAGCAGCACCTTTAAACATCTTTGAGCTTTTACTTTGAAAGTGTATCAATCAGCCAATCAGCTGTGAGTCATGAGCTGCTGCAGTGAGCAGAGCAGGAGGAGGATCAGAACCTCCAACATGTCTTCTAATAAGTTTGATTGTTTTACGGTGGAGCCTGTTTTTATGGATTTACTGTTGGTCCTTATTTCATGTTTACAGCCTCTTCTAATGTTGTAATGTTTAATGATGGATGTTTATTAGCTGTCGACCTTTCTGAATGTTTTATTGCATCTCTGGTTTTTAATGGTGCTCTAGAAATAAAATATCGTCACAACAGTTTATAATTTGACCTAATTTCTGTTAATCAAACACGTCTCCAGCGTGTCTCGGTGAATCACAGCTTCAGATTGGGGACGCTCTACCACATTTCACATTAAAATGTTCTGCTTCCTCCACAGCTTTACTTGTTTTTAAAACACAGACTGAACAGATTAAAGCTCAGATTACTGGATTTAACAGATGTTTGACATGGTTACAGCTTCTTGTTAATTAATTAACGTCTTTATTCCGGTAATTTATTAGATATTATCTGTAATTTAGCAAAATGCCATCTGTAAAAAAAACAGTTAAACAAAATTGAATCAATCATTTATCAGACACCTTTACTTATTAATAAAACACAGATCCGACAGATTAAATCAGCAGTTTCCAGCTTTTTTTTGCTCACATTTCAGAAGTTTTTAAATTAAACAGTCATCATTTTTCCTGTAGACTTACATTCCAATAACAACCACATGCTCCAGTAAACGTTCAGATGGCTCGGCGGCTTTTTTAAGATGCAGATTTGACATAAAGGACGATATAACACGCTGTTAAAGTAGAACAAGGGTCCAGGTTTCAGCTTTTTCCTTTAATCTGTCCCCAGTCTGAAGCTGTGATTCACCGAGACATGCTGGAGACGTGTTTGATTAACAGAAATTAGGTCAAATTATAAACTGTCATGACGATATTTTATTTCTGTAGCAGCTTTAAAAACCAGAGATGCAATAAAACATTCATGAAGGTCGACAGCTAATAAACATTCATCATAAAACATGAGAACATTAGAAGAGGCTGTAAACATGAAATAAGGACCAACAGTAAATCCATAAAACTTATTATAAAACATGTTAGAGGTTCTGACAGTCCAGAAACATGCTGAGGTTAATTGGTGATTGTAAATTGTCCGTAGGTGTGAATGTGAGTGTGCTTGGTTGTCTGTCTCTAAGTGTAGCCCTGTGATAGACTGGTTACCTGTCCAGGTGAACCTGCCTTCACCCTGAGTCAGCTGGGATAGACTCCAGCCCCCCATGACCCTGGTGAGGATTAAGGTGTAGAGATGATGGATGGATGGAGAAGCTGCACAGGAATGCACATTTCTATGTAGGAACCAGTTTGTGTTTATTAAAATGATTTTGTTGAGACTTTTTCCAGCGTCTCTTCCAGTAAAATCCCAGCATGCTGATGATTAAAGTGCAACAACAAGAGCTTTGGTAACAGAAAACTTTATTGTTGACAGTGGAACGCGGTTGACAGTTCAGTTCAGAGCACATGTTCACAGCAGAGCGACTCACGATGACTTCAGCAGTCTGCCGCTTAGCGACTCCGCTTTACATTCTCGGGTTTTTCAGGTGCAGCGACGGGCTGCTGTTACATTCTGGAGCTCCTCAGCAGCTCGAGGACATGTCTTTGATGATGGACATGAAGCTGGCGGTGGCGAAGCTGGGGTTGAGGAGGAGCTGCTCCAGCAGCTCTCTGCCCTTCTCCCTGGTGCTCACTGAGCACATGGCGCTCTTCCACAGACGGAGCAGAGTCCCAACTGGTGGAAAACAAGATAAGAATCATCCCTAAAAGCTCACGAGTTGAACAAAACCAGACAAACGTGACGTGTCCTACAGAGCATGGTGTTGATCCTCTTCATCCAGCTGAAGATGTACACGGTGTGGTTCTCCTCCGCGCTCAGGTCCTCGATGTAGGGCGCAGAGTCGTCCTTCTGCAGAACCAAACCAGAGGCAGAGACGTGTGAACATAAAAACAACCAAACGTGTTCTCACGGCGGTGTCGACTGTTGGTGGCGTACAGGTATGGACGTGCTGCTCACATCCACCCTGCCTCTCTGTACCGTTAAGCACCTGTTTGATGCTCTACCATACATGTCTACATACACCTGTGTATACCTGTGTACACCTGTGTATACCTGTGTATATCTGTGTATACCTGTGTATACCTGTGTACACCTGTGTATATCTGTGCTACGGGGAAACTCCAGCACTTCAACTCTACACTTATGCTAACTCATGTACAGGATGTACTTTTTACATTTGCTCATTCATGTGCACGGTCCCTTTTAAATAAATGAATAAATAAATAAAAGTAAAGGTGAAGGTGTGCACCTTCAGAACTCGAGCCGGCAGAGGGACCACGAACTTCTCAGCTCTCTCCATGTTGGTCTGGAAGTGAGCGGCGGCCAGATAGTCGGCGCCGCTCAGCCAGCTGTTGGCGAAGGACACCTCCTCAGAGGGGTAGTGGCTCTGCCTGGAGGACAGGGGATGGAAACATAAAACACCTGACATGTACGCTGTCAAAAAGAGATTTTTTAGCATTTAAAAAAATATATTAAAAAAAAATATTCACTGTGATTTTACAGTTTTGCCTTATTTTGTTAATTACAAAATAAAAGGTAGAAAAAAAACCCAGAAAAAATGTACTAATTTATGTGTTACCTCTGAAAAACAGCACATCATGTTCACATCAAAAATCTGCATTATTACAAAGAGGCAGCTGTGGTTGTCAGAATAACTACGTTAAAAAAAAATACAGTAACCCCATGGGGGTCCCAAGATCATTTCAGGAGGTCGCCTGATCATTGTAAAAAATAATAATAATAATAATAATTTAAATAAAATCTACATTTATCAAATAAATGTGTATTGGGGCTGTCAAAATTAAAAGTGTACACTTCTTCCCACTCCTTTTTTAAACTTGTTAATATTATGATGTGATTATGTGATATTATTATTATTATTATTCTTTTTCGCTCTTTTTCAAATTATTTTCTTTTGTTTTTATATTTTTTTCCTTTTCATTTGTTCGAAATAAATTCAATTCATTCATTTAAAAGAAAAATAATGTGTTAATGTAAAGAGACTCATCTGTGGAATGAACACATTCATCTTTATGCCTGAACAACAAAGTTATTACTCATTAGATATTAAAAAATCTAATTGTGGGGTCACGAACACAAACTTCTGTTATCTTGGGGGTCGTGGCTCAGAAAGTTTGAGAACCACTGCACCGTACAATATGTAAATTTCACAGTTAAAAATGTTTTAATTTACATTAAAAATATGTCTTAACCCAGTAGATCTGACAGAACCTTTTCTGGTGAATTCAATTAAACTGCTGTTAAACATGATCCAGTATTAAGTTTCACTGAACAGCCGACATGATCGAACTGTAGAAACCCTGTAGTTCTGCCATTTAACTGCTTTTACTGTATTAATTACAAGCTTTACAGTAAAAATAGCAGCTAAATAATAACAATAAGGACAAATGATTATTTTATTCATTCTGTAAAATGAGAGTGAAGTTTAGTAGTTTACATCATGTTGCTGCAAATGAATCAGTTCTTTGTGTTTTCCTGTTTTTTTGATGTCACACCACTGGTCTGTTGATGTCACAGACTTATTGATGTATTCACAGTGTATTGATTACTGATAGATGATCGTACTTGGCGTTGCATCCTGTAGTTGCAGCGAGTGAAGCCATCTGTGCCGCCCAGTACTGACCCAGGATGGTGTCCTTCTTCTCGTTGTCGGGCTGAGTGGACTCGGCCGCGGCCTTCAGACCCTTAAAACACACAAAGGGACCATTAAAGGGACGTTCCAGCTGTTTGGTGGTGCAGGTCAGAAGACTTACTGATGATTATTATACTGCTGCTGCTACTTGTGTGTGGAAACCTGCTCAGATACCTTGAAGAAGTCATCCCAGCCCTTCATGGCATCGGGGAAGCGAGTTGTGCAGTCGGTGTAGGTGGTGCAGTAGTCCGTGACGCCTTCAGGCACCTTCATCTGGACCTGAGAGCGCAACAATCATCAGTACAGCCATCGTCCTCGTCATTAAAACCTCTAACAATTCACCGTTTGTCACTTTCAGCACCTGAACGTCTGATCCGAGGAAACCCTGCTGGACGGCAGACAGGAAGGGAAGCACAGAGGTGTAGTAGTTCTCACCTGGAGGGAACGATGACCGACTGTTTAGTTAAATTACAGATAAAAGCTTGTAAAATCACAGAAAATAAAATGTTGATTTATAAATTTATATTTTAAACCTTTGAAAAAAACAGCGTTCACATTCAATATATGCATGTTTTGTTTTACAAGCAGCAGGTTCTTCTTTTACAATGACACATTTTGTTTTTCCTGAATTTAAATCAGCAAAAATTAGAAATATTTTACAGAAATTTGCAGGTATTTAAGAAAAAAACACATTAAAGATAAAAAATATATTTATATGATGATAATTTAATATATATACATAGAGAGATAATATAATATAATCAAAGAGGGGAAAAGCATTAATTTACATGTTGACTGTAAAAAAATAAAAATAAAGTCCTCATCAGAAATCAGTATTTTCTAAAACAGTAATTTGCTCTCCTACAGCGTGTTCACCTGGAATCAGGAGCTGCTTTGTGTCGTCTTTGTGTGATCTTTGTGTGATCTTTGTGTGAGTTTACGTGTTGTCCTACTTACAGCTCCACCAGCTCTGAGGAGAGATGCAGCTCTTGTCCGTCGCCTGCCCGCAGGTCGTGCTGGCGGTCGGGTCGGCCAGACGCCCTGCAGAAGCAACACATCATGAGGTGTTGTCATCAGCATAGAATCGATCTAAAGACGCTCTCGTTAGCTTACCGGAGTTGTAGAGCCATGCCAGCTGCAGCGCCAGCCCCCACAGCGGGCTGTCGGTGGCGTTGGTCCCCATAGAGCCCATGTACTGGTCCGTGGCACCGATCATCAGCCGGTACAGACTCATGCGGTCGGGGAAGTGCCAGGGGTTGGGGGTCACGGTGCCGTCCTGCGTCGACAGCTCGCTCATCTGGCCCACCGTTTCATCCCAGCCCAGAGGGCTGCCGTTCTTGGTGACCTGAGTGGAGCTGCAGAGAGACGCTGCACAGGCCAGGAGGAGGCCGAGGACCGCCGGACGCTGCATGGCTGAGGCTGCAGGGGGGATGCAGCATGCAGCCCGGACGCAGGGCTTATAAACAGAGACTCTGGCACCCCCACGCCTGTAACACCACGTTCATTGGACCCTCGCTGGAGATAAGAGGACATGTGTACACAGGCCTCGATGCTCTCCAAATATTAACAGTCAGCGCGTTACATAAAGACACAAAGCAGCAGGAAGAGTCATTTCTGTTATTTACTAGACAGCATGTGGATCTGTGGAAGTTGTTTTTAGGGGAAAACATTCAAGGAAAACTGAGGTCAAGTACTCCCACAGTTACCAGTTTGTTCAGGACCTAGAATCTGGTGGAACACACGGAACAAAGAGAGAACAATAAACAGTCAGCGGGTTGCTGAGTACAGTAGCCTCAGATTAGGAAGGTGAGATACCCGCAAAAGTTCAGGGAGACAGAGAGCAGAGGTTATCTTTTGTTTTACCTATAGATATTTCCAAAGTCCTTCTGAAAGATTGCTTAAGTCCACCTTAAAACTTCTCTGAGATTCACACCAAATAACTGCAGCTATCCATGAGCCTTTAGAGTCAGTATAAAATCTGAATATTGCTCATTCAGTCATGAACAATAACCTCCACACACTTTAAAAACCACGTATATCGTGACAGGCTTGAGTTCCCAATGACCCCAATAATTGTTTAAGATGGAATCATTGAAACATGTGTCTGTGTAACAAAAAAGCAATTTTGCATTTAAAAAAAAAAAAAAAAAAAATAGATTCAATATATGTCTTCTGGAAATATGACAGAACCTGCTGGTCAGAAACACATTCAGCAACTTGAGCTGTCAGCTTTGTTTTTTTACAGAAAGTCGTGCTGATCAGATGTTCTTCGCGGCTTCTTAACTTCTCAGAGGTGATGACGATCGACTCCAGCTGCTGATTCCTCTGAGACTAAACAGAACCATTTAATCCACTTATTAACCACAAACTCTACGGTGGGGGATTCAGAGAAACTTAGCAAAGATCTGAAAAAGCAAAGCATCGACTTGAACAAGTCCAAAAAGGCAGAGGAGCTACATGCACCAGTTTCCCTGAGGTACCCGACCAAACGGATCAATAAAGTTCTAACTAATCTAAGTTCTATCTGTCGTATCCGAAAATCATCTGTGCAAACAATGAACAATGGTTTGTAGGTATAAAGTTCATGGTCCGGTTGTGTTACTGCTGCAATCAGGAAGAAAAGACAAACTCTAGAGAGCCGATTGGTCAGGATGGTCCAGAGCCAACCAGGAACCAGCAGGAAGCAGCTCTGGATGGACCAGAAGCTGCTGGAACACAGGGTCTGACATGAACATGAGCTGAGAGGCTGATGGAGAAGGAAGGACTGCTAAAGATACTGAGACGTGATACGCTGATGAGCTTTTGATGTTCAACAGCACCCCCATGTGGTCACATGATGTAAATGCTATCATAGACCGTGACAGTGATGAGGATGTTTAAAATTAAAAGAATGAACTTTTCTCACCTGAACGTGGAAGCAAAAACTTCTCCAGCTGAACTGCACACATTTTGGAAAAAGAAAAAGAAAAAAAAGCGCTATCCACATGAAATAAAATTAAGAAAATAATAAAACAAAGCTGCTCCAAGGAACGCTTGGATTGTTTGGATATATTTTTGTAGGTTTGACCTTTAACTTTAAAGTAACGCTGCTGTGGAGTCGTAGCCTTAATATTTACATTATTTAAGGTAAATTCTGTAACTTCAGGTCTTTTCTATATTCTGAAATGATTTAGGTTAATCTCCATAATTAACACCACTGTAGGGTCTTAGCATTAATATGTATTATAGTCCAATAAATACGTGTTTTATATCATTCATGTAGGGTTTTAATCACTAAATATAAAATAATTAGATATAATCACACCATAAATGACACCTGTATGACCTTAAACCCATTATTTAAACTTAAATGTCAGTCATAGTCCTTTTTCTTTTTTCCTGGAGAGCACTTTGTTGTAAATGTGCTATATAAAAACCAGTGACCTGACATTTGATAATCTGGAGGTTATTCTGCAGAAAGCATCAACATCCAGACGAGCTGCCAGACAGACGGAGAGGCAGCCATGAGTCTGGACAGCAGAAAAGACGAATTAATGGCAGATCTGCCCATTACATTATAATGGACTCCTATCAGATGTCTGGTTCCAGTTTCTTAGGGCCTGCTGGTAAAGGATTATTAGACGGCAGTTCTTACCAGAAACCGGTGTTCTGACAGCCGGGAAACATTCTGGGAAGCACGAATCAGGGACAAATCTTTTATTTCAACACAAAAATTACCATTTAATAAAACACAACACACACGTTGAACCACTGAGGGCGACGGCATCAAATGAAAAGTGACATCTGGTTTTTTTTTTGTTTGGAAAAAGGAAGACGCAAAAGGCCTGAACACCCATCATAGAAAAACACAACGAGACCCTCCGTACAACATCAACATAAAGTTTCTACGCTAGCTCATGATTGTCGGTGGAAAAATAAAACAAATACAAAATCACAACTGCAGAAGTCCTGTCAAGGCTTGCACACGATGTGCACATTAAGGGTGTTTTCTTTCTTTTTCTTTCTTTTAAATTCTTTTGAGCTTATTCGAGGTGTTTCTTCTTCTTCACGATTAATTTTCTGTTTCTCCAGAAGGTGGCGCCGAATTTAGCTCAGTACAAAAACACTGACGGGAGTTTAGTGCTCAATCTTACAATAAACAAAGTACAAAAAAAAGTATTCACACAGCTATACAAAATGCAGAATATCCAGATTATATTCTGGTTTAAACTGCATAAAAATAAAAACATATCACGTGAAGTGTGGCAGCTTCCAGACAGTGAACGCTGCTGTAACGGATGGAGGTTCGATCAAACACATGGACAGCAGTGGTTCCCAAACTGTAGGAGTGCAGAGGTATTAGAATAAAAAGTGGAGAGAAACCCTGAACACTGTATAGAAAAGACGGAAGCAGAAGTGAAGTAAAAACCTGCATTCTTTGCAACAGCCAGCAGGGGGCGACGCCTCTGGGTGCAAACATTGTATAGAAGTCTGTGAGATAATGAGGCTACTTCTGGCTTGATTTGTTACCTCAGTGAACAGTTTCCTGATGAGTTTATGGTCCCAGTCTCTAGTTTAAAGTCTCCTTCAGTTAAAAACATAAAACAAAAATGGCGTCTGTTAAGTAAATTATGGTTTCTAAGAGATGAACAAAAGAAAAGTCATTAAGCTTTATCTTTAACTCAATGCTGATGCACTTTGTTGAGCACATTTAGTTAACTGTGGGTAAAGAAAACGGCAGTTTAGAGAGAATTTAAGTCGTAAATTTCACTAAAAATCTAAAATTTCGGGTCATGTTTATGTTGATCTGACTTACTGGATGTAGACTTCATGTATAAGCCTGCGTTTCCTGCAATAACACGCTACGTGTGCATTTTAAAATTCCCTTTTCTGTGGAAGACAACATCACAACAACAACAAGGTGCTGAAAATGTTTCACTGAGGTTTTGGATCATGCAAATTGGTATTTTTGGTGAATTAGAAATGTTCCTGCCTCCTTGACTGCAAATGTTTCACCAAAACAATTCCACAAAATACTGTTTTGCACCAAATGTAGTTGGTTTGAAGAAATACAAACAAGCCAGAGTGTCTTCAATGATAATGAGGTGCAGTCAGATTGTTCTCCAGACACGTGGAGATAGATCTGGATATGCAGGACAATGTTCATCTTAGGGCTGCAAGGTGGCGCAGTTAGTTTGCACTGTTGTCTCGCAGCTAGAAGGTCGCCGGTTTGCATGGAGTTTGCATGTTCTCATCGTGCTCTTCGTGTTCTCCGACTTCCTCCCACAGTCCAGAAACATGCTGAGGTTAATTGGTGATTGTAAATTGTCCGTAGGTGTGAATGTGAGTGTGCTTGGTTGTCTGTCTCTAAGTGTAGCCCTGTGATAGACTGGTTACCTGTCCAGGTGAACCTGCCTTCACCCTGAGTCAGCTGGGATAGGCTCCGCCCCCCATGACCCTGGTGAGGATTAAGGTGTAGAGATGATGGATGTTCATATTAATGCAATTTAACGGATTCTGACTTCCTGGATGTAGATTGCAGGAACAGACCTGGCTGGTTAGCTTTGTCTGCTATCTTCTGGTTACTGTTTTCAGAATCCACTTTGCCACGATGAACAACAACAAAAGCCTACCTCTCTCTATATATCATGCAGTGAGGCAGCCCTGCTATTTGTTTGGTGAATTATCCATTCTAACAACGGTGGCAGGTCTTCCTGTGTCCCACCAAAACAATCCCCCTCTATAGTAGTTTTTGCAGGGACACCGTAGCTTCATCCTTAATTTAGCTCAGCCCAATACAACTGTGATTGGTGTAACGAAACACTAAGAAACCAGAGTTTTTCCTCTAAAGGAGGTGCAGTCAGACCATCCTCCAGCCCTGTGGAGGTAGAATACGAGAAGACAGTGTTCGTATCATTGTTATTGAATCGATAGTCTGACTCACCAGATGTAGACTGCGGGTATAAGCCAGCAACTGTCTGCTAATTTGAGTCATTTTTCTTATTCTCCTCTGCTATCTACGCTTTAAAAATCCACTTCGCCACAGTAAACAACAACAAGAGTTAAAAAGCAGTAGAACGACGGGTTGGCTTCAGAGCGGGGCAGAGTTTGGGAACCACTGATTGACAGTAACACTGGAGTTTTATCAGCAACACATAAATAAGTGTGTAATTCTACGCAGAGAAACGTTAAATCTTGTGTAAAGAGTCCCACTGAGCACCTCGGTATCCCGGTAACGGCGAAGATACACAAAACAGACGTGGATTCAAAACGTCGCCGCCGCGCTCCAAAAGGCAGTGACAGCCGAGTGTGTTTTATCGCCCCCGTTTCCTCTCAGCGCCGGACATAAATCCCGCCACAGCTTGACAAAACCTGTGAAAGATGGCATAACTAACGCTGAGCCTGTCCAGATATGAAAGAAGAACGTCAGCGTGGAGCCTGAACAGGGCCGAGGAGTGGAGCTGGAAGAGAAACTTAAACAAACATCAGTCAGACCCACTCAGGGGCTTTTTTTTTTTCTTTCAGCGAGGAGAGCCGCCTTCCAGGAAGCATCCAGACGTTTGGCTTAAGATAAACACATATTTCACACACACACATGTAGGACACAGTGTTGGCCGTTATCGCTGCTGCTTTGGCTTCTGGCCGCCGGCTGAGTGGTGAGGTAGAGCGCTGGCTGGCTGGCTGGCCGGCCGGCTGGCTGGCTGGCCTGCTGTTGGCTGACTGATGGCGAGCTGATGGCATCTGTTGCTTGGATGTACGAGAGGTAGAGGATCTCTGCGCCTGCTAATGCACCGTGTGTTCGTGGAGGTCGACTGTATCTGAGAGTTTCTGCTGAGGTGTGGGTTAGGTGGGACAGTTTGACATGTGCTCGGTGTGTTTTCCGCGCCGCCGTTATGCTTCTCCGAAGGCCGAGGCTTTGTCCTTCAACAGGTCCAGACACAAGTGGCAGCTCCAGCTCCCTGTGGTTACAGACAGAGGATGAAATCTTCACGCTTTTCCATATATAGCCTTGGCCTGCAGCGTCTCTCTAACATACAGAACATGACGTGTATATATAGGGCGAGACCACCGGTGTATAATAAAGCCCATGAGAGCGGCTCTGAGCTGGTACCTTCAGGAGGCTGGGTCATCGGAGGCTTCAGGCAGTACATGTGGTATCCTCTGTCGCAGTCGTCGCAGAACAGCAGCTGGTCCTGCAGAACAAACACACAATAAGTATCTTAAAGTACACAGAACAGAGGAGGAGCTTATTACTGAGCATTTTAATAGTATAATAATGAACCCCAAAACCTGTCTGTGGGTTTAAAAGATGTTATTTCATTTAAAAATCTGCACATTTATCAGAGAAAGAAACTGTAAGAACACTAGAATTCGTCAGGTTTTCCAGCTGCCGTTGGTCCCTGATCGAACAGCGTGTGAGGTTTGCTTTAGTTGGGAAAAATATCCAGATCTAAGCAAAATCCGTCTCACTTAAGAATTCACACAAAGTAAACTGTCC